ATAAAAATAAATATTATTTTCATATCTAACAACATAATTTGATTTAAAGAACTTACTAAAAATGGTGCAAAAGACCAGATAAAACTTGTTCCAGAATTGAGATATGCTGCTTCTTTAAGTACTTTAATTTCTTTCATACGTATTTTCAGTATTTGTTCCTCAAATGAAGGTTCCCATGCATATAACTTTAATACTTTTATACCATTAAGTACTTCATTCATTAATTTAACTCTTTCATCTTTGTGCTTCATTTGTCTAATTTGCAATGTCTTAACTCTATTTGTGATCAATATATTTATTGGAATGAGAATAAGTAGAACAGCTAAACCAGCAAGCACAGCTGGCCCCAATAAGTCCCATAAAAAATATAATGCTAAGACTATTTGCAATGGGGCAGACCAAATCATATTTATATATGCTGTTAAATCCATAAATCTTTGTGCATCCACGGACATTAAGTTTACTATTTCACCAACTGTTGATTCTTTTCTGGCAGAATTAGACATTCTTAATGCTTTTCGGTAAATTGCAGCAATTAAAGCAGTGCGTATTCGTAATCCAACTAAGAGCATACGATGAAAATACTGTGCTAAAACTAATGTTTGAAATGTGGCCGTAATTAGGAGTAAAACCGCATAAAAATAGCCTTTCCACATAGGTTCACGTCCCTCAATAAAATGAATAAGAAACCTAAATTAAAAACAATATTATTAAATTTTGTGTAATTACTATTTAAAATATTAAGCTAATAACATGAAGCAAAGGAGGATATTATAATATATATTAAAACTCATTTACTTACCTCAATATTTGTGGACTAGCAAAAATTGAAATATCTTGTATAAATTTAAGTAAAGCTCCAAATAAAAAAGTTGTACCAAAAGCTTTGCAAAGAGGTGGCAAAATTGATGATACCTTCTTTCTCTGTCCACTATTAAAATCTACTTGACCAGATGCTTTCCTGAATGATGCCTTAGTGTTTTGTACACTAAAATGAGACAAAAACTGTACTCATATTTACACATTCTGCTATACAAATATTTTAATTAACTTACCTAAAGTAAGTCCAAAATACTCTTGTTAGCAAAAGTAGATTGATATCTTATTACTAATGTAATATAACAATTGTTTATTCTTATTAAGTTATTTCTACTATTGCATTGTTAATATGAAATATCCATAAATATCATACTCACTTATTATTTCTTTGCGAAATTTTGCTCCAATATTTATCAAATTTGGGTACAATTTCTTTAGCTGTGTCTTCTGGATTCATAGACCATAAATCTGTAGTTTCCAAAGGTTTCTGAAAGCCTTTCCATGCCATTGGATCAAACCATGTATAAAAAATCTTTGCTGGAAAGGAAGATCTTTGTTCTGGACATGGTTTATCAACCTATTAATATAATATGCAACATTAAATTATAATTATTTATCTGAGATATGATGCAATTCAACATCACTACATATTTAATTACCCTGGGATATTCAGAATATTTAGGTTCAGCATCAACTAAGAAATTCAATAAGAATAAAAGTACCACTGTTGGATAATATATCATGTATGATATAAATGAGTAGGTTATGTCATCCTAAAAAATTACATGTAAAACAAATAAATAAATTACAAGACTATACCACCATTATTTTTAACAATAAGAATATTCTAATGTAAATAAGATTTAAAAAAATGTACTCATTTTTAACAATGGTATGCAAATTTGCTTACATTTACTATTCATAGAATATATTAATAACATACCCCATTTATATATAACCTTAACAATGTTCTATATTGATATTTTCTGTTGTATATTACTAAAGTACCTGCTAGAGCCTGTAAAAGATAAGAAATTATATTGTCATTATATATTAATTTTCTATAATATCTTAAAGAATTATAAATAATACTTACAAATGTAACAATTTTTATAAATGGTGTATAATAATCAACATTATATACTTTGTCATAAGTACTTTTATGTATAGCCTTTCCTAAATCAATAATACTAAGTAAAATCAAGGCTACTGTAAGTACTTGTTTAGAGATAAATAACCATGTATACGGAATATTTTTTCTTTTACTGCTTAAAAAATAATAAATTTCTATTCCAGAAAATAGCCACAAAAATGTACATGGCACCCATACTAACACAGTTTTCTGAAAGCATTCTGTAACATCTGGATCATCTGTATTCCACATTAAGCCATTATCCTACAATGTAACAACATAATGCTAAATTTGTTACTCTTATTTGAAGATATTTTATATCAGACACAAGCACTACTTATGTATAATGTACAATGTATCATACTATGACTAGTATGTACAATATTAGAGATATAAATTTTATAATACAATCACGATTCACATCTTAAAATTGTAGAATTTCGAGTCTGATTTCCTATTAACGAATTCATATTTTCAATCCATAAAAGTCGACAATCTTTCTTTTTCAAACAGAATCAAATTTCTGGTTAAATCTACCAAATAATAACAATAACTATTATAGAACTTTCTTTTTTAATTTCAATAAAATCAGATAGTACTATTTTTATGTTAGCAATTGTTACATTTTAAGAATTCTTATGTTAAGATGAAAGTACATTCTATTAATTTCATTCTTTTAAGTTACACAAATAATATGATTTATAGTTTAAGCAAGGAAATATCTTTTGGTTCAGATACCACAAAGAAAATATTAAATGTATAAATAGCACATGTATTCTTACCCAAAATTTGGTACCACAAAATTGATCCATAGGATCCATAGTTTCGTTCCCCATAACAATACATTTACTGTTTCATTGGTTTTTTTTATTCAGTTATATTCGGATTAAAATGATCGTGACCTTTTGTAGGTTTCTTGAGTAAAATAAAATACTACGCACTGCAAAATAGATATCATTAATTTGGATTAATAATTCTATTCATTTACTAGATATTAAATTGTAAAAATGTACAATTACATGATATACTGGCATGTATCTAAAACTAATGGTATACGAACATCCACTCGCTTTCTCGAATAAACGTAAACTGTGCGTGAATAGTGTCCGATTCACATTATAACGTTTTTGGTTTATTTGCCCAATCAAAATGCATTACGTCACATTCTCTTACATTCCATGCGCACAATTCTAAAATAACGGTTTAATTTTTAAGTGGAACAAGTTATTTAACTAAAAATGAAAAGTTCGATAAAGTGGTAATGATAGAATTCCTGAAAATATTTAATCATAAACTATAAAATCCATACGTTATTACATGTGAGTTCGTAAATCACACACGTATATGTATATACATATATGTATATACACACATGTGTATATATATTTATACACATATATAATATATATACATATGTATACTTTATTCCGTAACAGTACACTTACACTATAATACAATGGCTTGTTTTTACTTCAAAAATGTAAACTCAACATTTTCTCATTTTTATTGTATAACGCATGGATTTTGTTTTTAACCATATAAGGCCGTTGCACTTTATAATGCAATACTGATATAGTGCTTACTCATTCATTGATTTGATATGATAGAATAAATCAGTCTCTTTTTATTACGATGTTTTTAATGAAATGAGTTAAATACATTTTTTTTAAGATATACAAAAAATGTATTGTTTTCCATTGAAATTTTTATATGCAACATAAACTGTTTTCATTTTTATATTTTGTAATTCTACATGTTGTTTAGTAAACGAATGTTAAAAGATTATATTCAATATAATACTGTAATATTATCCATACATCATATATTATATCGTTATGGAGAAATAAAAGCAAGATATATTGTAATTAAACTATAAATTTACTTATTTATTACTTTTTTTGTACATAAAATTTACATTAAGTGTGCATAACGTAAAGTTACTATAAAAATATGAAAATAGAAGCATATATGTTATAAATAACTGAACATTATTAAATATTGCACTAATGATATCTAACAATGTGTTGTGATAGAGATCGATAATTTATAACCTTGAGTTTCATAGCATAGATTGTAGATAATAAAAATATATTACCACAGAGTCATACTTCATAAGATTCCATTTAAGTACTGTAATCAGCTGTGATGCTGAATGACACAGCTAAATTTTGGTGTTGACATGAACAATCATAATAGCGTTAAAGTATGCAAAATTGTGTAATTATTTTTATATAATGGTTTTTATTATTAAGTAAATATTTGTTAAACCCTGTATTTCTTTTATTGTCGTATGTAAGGTATTAATTATTAAACTTTTTTTCAGATATACTTACATAAACTACAGAAATATTTGAAATTTATTATATACTTTTTTAGTAATTTTTTTTTAATTCATATGGTATAATAATGATAAAGTATTTATTATAAATTTATATATAAAGCATTTTCAAAATAGTAAAATTAATAAGTCCAAAACATACAATAAGACGTTGAAGACATCTGGAGAAATCATCTTAACGAATCAATTTGACCCCTATTATAGTCGTCAAAGGACATGTTATGTAAATACATGTACCAATCAGATAAAAGGGAAGGGAAAGACAGTATGTTTTGTGATACGATTATATAACTGCACTAACAAGAGAACTTCGGTAATCCGAAATGCCCGATTTTTTTTAAACTTTGTGGGTTTGTAGGGGACCTCAAGAGAAGTATCGGGCAATTTTTTTTATCGGCCCAATTTCGGTTCTTCGGAGTGAAAACAGCCCTTGAATGAAGATAAGTGTACCCTATTTCCCTGTATATCTTTAAAACTATAGTAGATATAAAAAAATGTTTATAA